ATGTTGACTCTAAAAAGAACCAACACAAACATTTGTATGTACATTTGTATTTAAATCAGCTGAAAATATGATCATTTACCAATATTTGAAGTTATCTTCATCGTTGTACAGCTTTTGAACATTCCAATATTTCTAAAGTATTTTTCTTGCACTCTTGTGGCCAAATTTTTCTCTCTCTCTCTCTCTATTTTTTTTTACGTTGACATTTTTACAGCGTAGCAGAATGTGATCAAGGTGCCCAGGTAGCTGGTAAACAGGGACAACCTGTCCTGCTGCAGCCGGCATCCAGGAAAAGGGCGTGTCCTCCAGCCAGGACAGCGCAGGTGAGTCAGGCTGCTGGTTTCTGATTGGCCCGCATACACAGGTGTCACCGGGGTGTCGCCTGTGTACGCACAGCAGCTCTGCCTTCAGCCTGAGGGCTCTGAATCCCGCATGAACGCCAAAGAAAGCGCACTGTAGGCGCAAATATCCGGCACCAAGACGCACAGCTGCGGGTCAGGATGAAGGTGCAGATCGTGCTGCCGCTCACCATTGTCTTGTCCGTCGCCCTGATGGGGGTCATCAGCGTGCTGAGGAAGGAGCTGCTGAAGGAGGAAAAACGCAGCAGGTTCCAGGGGGTCAAGCTCCGGGTGTCCGGCGACGTGCTGTCAGAGTTCCTGAACGACCGGGCGGAGGTAGAGAATCAGCTGAGGAGGGCCGAGGGCGACCTGGAGACGCTGGAGAAGGCACTGGCCGCTGCGAAGAGCAATACGGAGAAGAACAAGCCGAAAGCGGACGCCTGCGAGGGAGAGCAGGTGAACGGAAACCTGGGGCTGCTTTTGATTAGTCGATTGGTCGTTTGGTCTATGAAATGTCAGAAAAAAGATAGTGGAAATGTCAGAAAATGATGAAAAACGTGAACCCAAAGTCCAAGATGACAAATGTCTTGCAAATATATTCAGTTTATTGTCACAGAGGAGGAGAAAAACAGAAAATATTCACATTAAAGAAGCTGCAGTCACAGAATTTAGACTTTAATTTAAAATAATAATAATAATAATAATAACAATAAGGACTCTCAGGGATTAATCAGTGAATAGCTGTAGTGGTGAGAAAAGTAAAGATGCAGACTGAAAGAATACAACCAACAATATTATTTGTTATTCTGTTGATATGTGTATATATGTATGTATTTTATTATCAGTAGATTAGTTGTTCGGTCTATAAAATGTCAGAAAATTCAGAAAAATGTTGCCAAAGTCCAAGATGACAAATGTCCTGTGATGATATTCAGTTTGTTGTAACCGAGGAGGAGATAAACTAGAAAATATCCACAATAAAGAAGCTGCAATCACAGAACTTAGACTTTTATTCTTTTTAAAAATGATTCACAAGAATTGATCGATGAATAGTTGAAGACTAATCGATTAATCGCTCGGTCGCTGCAGCTGCAGTGGTGAGAAAATTAAAGATGCAGGACAGAAGAATGCGACTGTTGTGTTCGGCTTACTTCAGCTCACAGTAGAGCTGCTGCTGCTGTGACTTTGGTCTGTAGTGATCATGTTGGGCTGCAGTTGGAGAGACTGACAACTTTTTAATCAGGTATCGAAACAGTTTGATGACTAATCGATTAATCAAGTTATCTTTTAAGCTCTAATTTAATCGAGAACATTGTGTCTTTTAGTGCTGCATTTCTTTTCACTGTCTGTACAGTCGATTGATTGATTCGTTGTTCGATCTATAAAATAGTAAAAATGTCCATCTGTGTTCCCCAAAGTCCAAGATGTCAAAATTCTGCTTTAGTCCAAACACAAAAATATTCACTTTACTGTCATAGAGCAGGAAAGAAACCAGAAAAAGCTGAAAACAAAACATTTATTTAACTTTTTTCTTTAAACAAAATGGTCCAAACCAACGAACCATTGATCCAACTAGCTGACGACTAATTTAAAATATGAATCGATTAGTTGTTGCAGCTTGAGAAAAGAAAGACAGAGAGACGATCAGACGTGATGTCAGATTTAGGTCAAACAGAGACGTGCAGTAGATTCATCAGCCGACAGTAGAGCGAGTGAAAGTGGAGCTTGACCTTAAGTTGTTAAGTGAGTCTTTAATGTCGATCATTAACTGGCTGCACGAGCAGAAGAGCTGCAATCTGCTGGGAGTCATAATCTGAGACAATCACAGCGAGCTGCATGTTTTCCTGCTTTACTATATTCTTTATCAACTGCTGTTTTTATTTTTATTTTTATTTTTTTTACATCAGGCTTTAGTCTTAATGGGGTCATAGGGGTCAATTGATATCACCGATTATTAGCAATCAATAAAACGGAACAGCAGCATGCATTTGAAAATGAACACAAACACCAACACAAAACTAAACTAAAAGATTTTTGCTTATCTGTATCTTCTGCCTGTTTGAATTAAACAGAGCTTCTCAACATTTATCCCTCACTGTTGATTGGCTGCTACTCGTGACAGACAACCAATCAGAGGACGGGATGAAATTAATGCACCGAATTTATCAACAATCGGTTGGAAAAAATACTGAAAATCAGATCTGAAAACCAACCGCTGAGTCATAAATTCACTCGTTTCACTCACATTAAACTACAAATGTCAGCAAATATTGTTTTAAAACAGTTTTTTCTTAAGTTCTATCAGTAAAAAACAAATGACAGACAGCATCGGTTCCCTCCTGAGCTACAGTGGCTCATAAGGAAGAACAGATCACATGTACGCCAGCATTGTGTAAGTTGCGGTTCATGGAATTGTCCTGTTCATCTTGTTTGTGCACCATCTCTTGACGAGGTTTCTGTTGAAAATGAGAACCGGTTCTCGATCAACTTACCCGGTAAAATGCATGAAGATGTTAATAAATGGGGAGCAAGAGGTCAGAAACGTCTCTGTGGTTTATTTATAGCGGATTGGAGTTTGCATATTTATCCTGTTCCGTCTGTGCAAAGCTGCTCTTGTGGCTTCACGGTGGATTAAGAGGATTTCTCAGTGTAGCTGTAAGGAGAGCCTAAAAAGAGCAGTTGTTCTCAAACTGGGAGTCCCAAGATAATTTCAGGGGGTCAACAGATCATTGTAAAACAAACAAATGAATAAATAAAGCCTACATTTATCAAATAAATTCGTATTAGGGCTGTCAAAATTCAAAGTGTATGCTTCTTCCTACTCCTTTTTTGAACTTGTTAATATTCTAATTTGATAATGTGATGTTATTATTCTTTTTTAATGCTCTTTCTAAAATTATTTTCTTTTGTTTTTATATTTTTTCCCCCTTTCATTTGTTCGAAATAAATTAAATTCATTCATTCATTCACGTGTTAATTTAAAGAGACAAATCTGTGGAATGATGAACACATTAATTTTAATGCATTATTGCATCAACACCAAGATTATTACTCATGATATGTTAAAAATTCTAACTGGGGAGTCACCAACACAAGCTTCTGTTATCTTGGGGGTCGTTTATCTAATCTTTCTTTCTCTCGCAGAAATCTGAGACGGATCAAGTGGCGGCAACAGAGACAGAACTGAATAATCTGAAAGGTAAGAGATGCTTCACGGACCTCCAACCTGGTCGTGGGTTTGATATTCTAGAGATATTTTATTAAGCACGTGCCGTCTCATTTTGACACCTTCAACTGAACGCTTGCAGCTGAGTTGGAGAAGGAGAGCAACAGCTGGAAAACGGAAGAAGCGGCGCTGCAGCAGCAACATCAAGAACGGAGCCAGGTGTGCAACTTCCTGAAAGAAGAAACGGACATAACGAGGTACATTTAAAGCTTTTACAGGACTTTAAATCTGCAGAACATCCAGACTGCAGCAACTGTGTTCCTGTACAAACTGAGCTTCATATTTGCTGCTAGATTACATTCCTTGTGACTAATCAGCATATGTTTCTCTTTAGCCAACAAATAATATATTCGATGGGGTTAAATTCATCACCTTGGCAACCCAGAAAATTGAGGAAACGCTTCAAACATCTTCTGAAAGGTTACTATCGTAGTTTAATCGTAGCAACTGGGCTTGTTTGAGTTCTTTGAAGACATTCCACCTCTCATCCATCAGTTCTGACTGACGAGTTGGGAGTTCTAGATATCCTTAAGGAGCCATGAACACTTTGAGGATATCAGTATCTGGAACTCCCAACTAATCAGTTAGAACTGACTCTTGGATGAGAGGTGGAACGTCTTCAAGAAACTCAAGCAAGTCCAGTTGCTACGATTAATCTACCAGAATAACCGTGACCTGGATGACTGAGAATCTTCCCAGACATCTTATAAAAGGGTCGTATTTGAGCCCAAACCGTGCTCTCTTTTTAAATCCCACCAAACAGTGAGTGATAATTAAACTAAAGGCTGGTTTGTCACTGATTGTGAGTACACCAGGGTCTCGGTGATGCAAGTTTCATCGTTTTCTTGCAGACGTTTCCAAAATTTGTGGCGAATATGCTCCAAGAGCCGTAGTGTGCAGGCGCAGAATACGTAGATACGAGCTGCTGTGCATGAGAGAGCATCAACTACACATCTGTGGGTGTCTGCGCAGGAGTATGATCTAGGATTTAAGGCCAGCTGAAGCCCCCTGCATCCATGTGTTGGCATTTATCCTCCACCAAAGTCTTGATCTGATGCATGTGTGCAACCCAGAATCTGATTGTCTACTCGTGCAACAAATAGTGCTTAAAAAGAGACTGTACGAGGAGATTATATTGGAATAATTCATTAATAAAAGACTTGAAGCAGTCACTGTGGAAAGCTCTAAAATCTCGTGCTACACGAGAGTCGTGCTACATCCGCCCACCGTGCTGGACACACCTCAGGACTAGTCTCCAATCTGTAACCAGCTATTGTATCCTGTAAGAACAATGCCTAGTGGCATCTTGAGACATCCACCTCAGCACTATTTGTTTTTTATTCCTGTTTTTCTGCATTCCATAAGCGCAGCGATGTGGCGGAGCAATACAGATCTATTGCAGTATGATTAGAACCACACAGTTGAAACCAGAAGTTTACACACACGGTGTAAAAAGACGCATCACAAAGCCCTGATCTCAATCCTGGAGACCATTAGTGGAGCAAGGCAACCAGCAAACCGGACTCGGTTCCACCAGTTCTGTCAGGAGGAATGGGCCAGAATTCATCAAACTATTGTGAGAAGCTTGTGGAAGGAAACCCAGAACGTTTGACCGAAGTCATAGAGTTTAAAGGCAACGCTACCAGATGCTGAGGAGATGGATGGAAACGTCTGACTTTGAAGAAAGTAACAAAAAAAATTCTCTCTCTCATTATTTGGCATTTAGCAAATAGAAATAATGTTGGTGATCCTAACCGACCTAAAACAGGAAAAAATGTAGTCTGATTTAATATCAGACAGTGAGAAAATAAAGGTTTTATGTCTTTTTATATGGTGTATGTAAACTTCTGGTTTCAACTGTACTACAATAATATTGGCTGCTTCTAAGCCCAGGACGCAGTGATGGTGCCCCTGCAAAATAAAGATAGGGAGGATTTATACCTAAAGAGGCAAACAGTTCTGTCAGGAGGAATGGGCCAGAATTCATCAAACTGTTGTGAGAAGCTTGTGGAAGAAAACCCAAAACATTTGACCCAAGTCATACAGGTTTAAGGCAGCGCTACAAAATACTAAGGACATGGATGTAAACTTCTGACTTTGAAGAAAGTACTATAAAAAGTCTCTTTAAAAATTCTTGCTCTCATTATTGTGGCATTTAACAAATAGAAATAGTTTTGGTAGTCCTACCTGACCTAAAACAGGAAACGTTTAGTCTGATTTAATGTCACATAGTGAGAAAATAAAAGTTTTATGTCCGTACAGTTTGCTTTCGAAGTTAGAATCAATCATGCAGAAACCCTACTTTTTCCTTCATGTTTTTAACCTCCTTATTTGGACTTTATGGCTCTTTGGAACTGAAATCTTTCCTACTAGGTGATAGTCTTACCTTCTGGTGAGAACTTTTGTTTCTTTTAAGACAAAATTTCTCTCAAAATACAAATCAGATGCAGTTTACTTGTGTAGTAGCATCATTTTTGGGAGGCAGTGTATCTGTGCACTCACGACATTCTCCTTTTTGTTCAATTTCTTTTAAAGAGGTATTTGTGGTA